CGTTACGTAAGTTGTGACCCGGTGCCCTGCCGGGGCCTGGCGACACCCGTCCTGCGGGGCACGGCCGCCGGGCTGACAGACCCCTTCTTCCCACGTGTGTCGCAGGTAGGAAGATGACTCGCCTGGCGCAGGAGTTACGAGCCCCGTCCCAGTGAGACCTCCAGAATTAAGAGCAAATGCGTGGGGAAGTCCCGCCGCCCAGGGCAGCGTCGCAGCTCTCGTGAACCGCAGGCATCGACGCCTCTCATACTTGCTCCTCTGGCCCGAGCACTCTGCCAGCGTTTCCTACCCCACGAATGGCTACTCAGAGGAAGCACTTGGTGAAAGATTTCAACCCTCATATCACCTGCTATATCTGCAAAGGCTATCTCATCAAGCCCACCACAGTAACTGAGTGCCTCCATACCTGTAAGTAGTGCTTTGCAAAATATCCCTCCTTCGTAAGTGATACCTCACTGAAGTATTACGTGTTTCATGTGATCTCTGTGCCGTTTTTTGTTTACTTCTGAAGTGTTGCAGGAAATGCTGTGCAGTTTCTGGTGGAGTTTCCTAGGCGCTGGTCTGCCATTTGGGTTGTCTTGAGGGCATGTCGACTCTGCTTAACACCTTGCAGAATAAAGACACCCCTTTTCTTTCCCCCAAGCTAGTGGTGACGGTGCTGGCTCTAGCCCCACACGTGTATCTTTGTGGCCTGGCTGATCTCAAGTGAAATCGTTAGGTCGGGTGTGGTAGTTTGATAGTATGACTATGCTTTTGAAACTTAAGCCAATGTGTCTGTTGGCAGTGTGCATGATGGATACACCAGTTTGGTCAGTACTGGCTCATATCTCTCTCTAATGTGTTCCATAGCACAATGGATAAAAATACTTGAAAGTTGGCAAAATATTTATTTAGGGAGTAGATCTCTGAATGAAACTGACTCAGGAAAGATTACTCAGGTTGTCTTATGCTCCTAATACTTTCTAAAACAGTTGTATGAGTTATGTTAAACGTATGAACAGCCCTATCAAACTCAGTCAGCTTACTTCCACAAGCTAAGTTACTTACACACTTGAATTTTTTACATCTATTCCTGAATAGAAGATAGTTTGCTTGGACTGTCTTGAGAATTTGGCGTCTTTCCAAATAAAATTTGAATTCTTCTAGAAGAAGTGTAAGGGGAACTGTATGTTTTCTGGTAGATTTCTCATTTTTAAACCTTTAATAAATGTTAGTTAAAAGCCTTGCCTTAGCATTTCCCATAATTTCTGCGCAGTGTTGTTACTGCACTTATTGTCTTCACTGTTCATTTTTACATTATGGTGCTATGTCCTGAGTGTATCAAGCACATAGAGAATGAAACCATATCATTTCTATATCTTGTTCGTACTACAAAGGTAATGTTGTTTACCGTTACAATAATATTATTTTTAGTTTAGTTTTTGAGGAGAAAAAAGTAGTGTTGAACTGACTTTTTCCAAGTCTAATATCAGCTAAGGGTTATAATGCGTTTTGTGGTATTCTTCTGTTCTGGGTTACTTGGTAAAGGAATTTAACTTCAGGAGGAGAGAAGTTAAGCAAGTTGTCCTTATAAGAACTTGAAATAAAACATGAGGGGGAGAGGCATATTAGCTATTATTAAATTATCTTTCCCTTTAAAGAAATTGGAAAAATTCCAGCATTAGTCAATTTTTTTTATGGTTGAAGTTTAATAAACAGTAGTAACTTTTAAAAGGTTGGGCTGAGGGGGAAAAAGTTGCATCAGAAATCAGCTCAGGCTTAGGGAAAAAAATAGGTTTTGTTATGGTATCTTTCTGTTTAGATAATTTGTTTGTTTGTTTACTTTTACTCCCGTTACAAAATAATGGCAGGAGGAGTGGGGGTTTTTCTCAGCAGCATCTGTTTCTTTTGTTCACTTGTAGATTGTGAGCTCTTCACTGAGACAGCTCTGTTACTGCCTTGTCCCCAGATGAGCACGCATGAATTTTACTGAGCTGCCATACAGTTGCACAGGTCTCCTCCCAGAAAAGCTGCCAGGTGTTTGGGTCATGAAGTAGAACTGCAGGAAAGAAGGTGGTGTTTCTTTAAAGCAAAGTTTAGTTGCCAAAATATGAAGCCTACAATGATGGAAAGGAAAATGAAAAACTTCAAGTGGTGATATGGAAGTCCTGTGTTTGTAGAGAAGAAGGTGATCTGTATGTGGCAGAATTTGGGAAGATACTCTGATAAATGATTTTATATTTTGGCTTTTAGAAAATATTTAAACTTTTTTTTTTAAACACAGGTATGGCTCTTCAGTCACATCCAAACAGTTACCACAAAATACAAGGATTTTAACTGTCCTTGGGTATTTGTCTTTACTACTAATTGCCGTAATACAAAACAGCATTGCACAAATGATCAAAATCTGCAGATATTAACAGTTTAAGAAGCAGCATAAATTCATTAGATACTGGGAGCACAATGTATTACTCTGGACAAGATGAAAAGCATGAATTGACATAGATGGTCTCCAGTGATCATAGAGGAACTAACATGATCAGTAGTAACCAAATCAATTAGCGGTTAATTCGCAGCTTCTGTGTTGCTGAAAAATGTGAAGTAGTAGAGTTCTGCTCTGAGAAACGTGTGCCTTTTTAATAAGAGATGTTTCTGATCGGGTTTTTGGAAGTGTTGGACAGACAACTCCACCATTTCCTGGGAAGAGTAAGTGCAACTTGGGCATCAGCAGTACAAACTTTCCTATCTCTGTTGGGAAGGAAGTGCTTATATTACTGCAAAATAATTAATTATTCTGCAAATTCAGTGCTTCATTTCTTTTCTGCTACTTGCAACAGAATGGTTTTGTCTTATGGACTCTGAGACGTTTTTTCCTAGTCTGTTATATAGTTGTCAAGGGTGTTTTAAGAACTACTGGTTGAAGCAGGCTAGATGTCGGCTAGAGGGTATGTCCCATCATCTCTCTCCAGTCATTCCGTCATTTAGTACAGTGTGCACTTAAAAACTTGGAAAATAAACTTTCCTCAGGAACATTCTTTAGTGTCCTAAAAAATACCAGATTGTTTATGCAATCATAGAAGCGTTTGATTGAAGGGACATCTGGAGGTTGTCTAGGCCAACTTCATGCATGAGGCAGGTTAGTTGCCAACACTATACCAGGTCAAGCCATGGCTCTGTATAGCTGACTTGTGAATTTCCAAGCATGGAGCCTCCACAGCCTCTCTCAATAACCATGTCCAGTGCTATGCTCTCTACTTAGTGAAGAAGTTTTTCTGAATGTCCTACCAAACAACAACTTGTGCCCATTGCTCCTTGTGATACTATTTGCTACTACTGAGAAGAGCTGGGCTCTATCACTCCTGTAACTGCTGTTCAAATGGTATAGGCTGTTAGTAGATAACCTACTAGCCTCAACCATGATTCACTTTTGATAAATCGATATTGCATATTCCCGATTACATTTTTTTCCCTTGTGTAGTTGGAAATTGATTCCAAGGGACATGACGTGATCAGCCATCTTACCAGGGAGCTAAGGGAGACTGTTTACGATCGGACTTGATGATCTTAAAGGTCTTTTCCAACCTAAACCATTCTATGATTCCATGTTTAACTGTGGTTACCTGGGTCACGCTTCCCATCTTCATTAAAGGCTGGCATAACGCACTACCCTTTTCCAGTCAACAGGCACCTCCCATAATCGCCATGGCTATGGTGATAAGCTTTCAGCTTAGTGAATCCTACCTGGCCTGTAGATTTGAATACATCCAGCTTTTCTCAGCAGGCCATAACCTGCTGCTCTCCAGCTGCTGGTCATCCGTCTCCTTCCCAAATCATGCTGGTATGCATGGAGATCCGGGATCAGGCTCTGCCTGTGAAGAACAAAGCTTAAACCTTTCTGTATAATCTATTCCTAAATTGTTTCCCTCATTCATTAACAGACCCACAATTTGTCTGAACTTCCTTCAGCTACTGGCCTACTTGCAGAATCCCTTTATGTCCCTCATCAGTTTTAGTTATGGCTGGGCTTTGGCCTTCCTAATTTTGTCCCTAAGTTCCAGAGCAATGATTTGATATCCTTTTGTTTCCCATCCTTGTTTCCACTTCTAATATGCTCTATTTTTGCATATTAATTAGGAAGCTTGTGCACTGAGAACTGCTTGTGCACTAAGCAGTTCTTCTGACAAAATGCCCTGTACAGTGGGCTGGTTTGCTTTTGAGGTCTAAATAAATTATCTTTAAAAAAACCAGCCGGCTCTCCCAAGTACCTTTCTTTCTAATGATACCTTCCTTGGGAAATCTGAGTAGCAGTTGCTTAAACAAGCTGAATTCCCACCTCCTGAAGTTCAGAATCCTAACTCCGATATTTAACTTTCTATCCTTCCTCGAGATCCTGAAGTCAGTCATCCTGTGGTTGCTGCAAGGCAAGCTGCCATCTGCGGCTGTATTCATCACCAGTTTTTTCCCTGTTTATGAGCAGCAGATCAAGTGGTGCATGACTCCTAGTTGTTCTCTCTAGTATTTACCATAAGAAATTGTCAACTAATGCAGTCTAGGAACTTTCAGAAATGACCTTCCATGCAGGAAAATGACCAGAGATGTAATTTCCAACATCAAACCAATAATCTTGCAGCCATAGTGTTTTTCAGATTTTGCTAAAAACTTATGCTCTCACCAGGAGATCCCAAAAGAACTTTAATGCAGCAAAATTTCCCACCCTCAGACAAGCAAGCTGAGCTGCTTTCGTACTCCTCCTCCTGCAGAAGCTTCAGTCAATGGCAGGTAGCAGGTCTGTCTTATTTTGAAATAGAAGATTTCAACCCAAAAAGTCTTTCATGATCACCACATACTGAAATTATCTCTCCCTTTTAACAGAAGGGAATCCAGTCTGGCTGTCTGGTAATTGTAATTAACAGTGGAGTAATCTCACATGTACAGTTTCTGAGAAGGGTGGTTAAGTATATTGAAGTTTTCTGTTCTGTTTTTATGCAGACGCTTTTCCTAAAAGTAAGTGCTTTTAAAGCAGGTTTAAGGTAGCTAATTAAATACTTCATTAAACATGCCAAATGACTTGTTACGTCTCTGTGCCATCACTGAGATGGGTTTGATGTTCCACTAGCTGTGCATATCCTGTGCCCTTCCTTTGCTCACTGGATCAAAGAGAGATTAACTTTGAGAGAGGAGATTCTTTGGAAGAATTCAAAGGATGAGTTCTGACAAAGAATTTGTCCTACAATTAACTAATTAAACTTTCTCTTGTAGAATTTTTTGTTTTAAAAAAAATTCAATATGAAGTTTTATTTAGCTACCTTGTTAATCAGCATTTAAAAAATAACCTAGGAAGAGTCTTCTCATTAAACAATACGTGTGTAGATATGCGTAAGAGATGTACTTTTTTTGTTTGCATAAGATGACATACAGCACAGTCCTGA